CAGCATACTGGCATACGACGGCTGGACATTTCTTTGGCCTTGATTATTTTTATTTCGTTGCCGGCATTCTTCAATGGTGTGATTGGTACGCTTGCAGTAGTTGCAGAACTTTCGTGTGTATCCTCTGTGTCCTCTAAAGTTTCCTCTTCCTCCTCTGCCGAAACGACGGTTCATATATGGTCTGGATTCGCTCAGTGTCATCCTCTCAATCGCTCTTTCAATGGCAGTTAAACGATCGTCCATATTAGGATTGCTGTGACGTGACTCAGCGGTGTTATTGAATAAGGCGGCAATGACAGGATTCTTCACACAGTCGGCAACTTCTCTCTCCCACTGCTCATTCTGGTATGCTTTCTCTCTCACTACCTCTTTCAGCTTAATGAGGAATTCATTCGGCGTAGATGGCATATTGCTCACGAATCCTGACTTCAGCTGCGGTGGCAGCCCATCGAACAGCTTATTCACGACTTCGCGTTCGGTCGGCGAGTCAGAAATAGAATTGAGGTATCGCATGACATTGGCGTAGTAGTCGTTTGGATTACCAGCGTACGTCAGCGAGCGCTTGGTGTCTTTAGCCAAGTCGTAGTCAAACAGCTGTTTGGCGAAGGCATCGCGTAGCAGTTTCTTCATTTCTGTCCATGTCCCTTCAGCAGGCAGCGTGTTGTATATGCGCAGGGCAGTTCCATTGAATGCACGGTACAGATTACCGATTGCGTCTTCATTAGTCCAGTCGTGCTGTTTAATGCAAATCTCGTACTTTAACAACCAGTCTTCAAAATCTTCATCTTCTTTGTTTGCAAACTGCGGTAATTCTTTAGTTGGCACTTTCTTCTTATGCGTCTCAGAAATACCTTTAATGATGTCAGTTGCACCGGCACCGTTCTCTGCTAAATCGCGAATTTCATTCAGTTGTCGTTGTAAGTTGTCGGTTGCAGCCATTTGCGCACGGATGGCGTTTGCGTGGTTAACGAGCGTGTCCTCTTCTTTCGCCATTTTGTTGTTAAAATCCCGGTATCGCTTCGATAGTAATTCGAAAAACGATGTTTCTTGTGGTTGAATATAAGGTGGACTTTCTGGACGAGGCGGTGGGTCAGGTATTGGGTCGAAGAAGTGACGTGGATTATCTACTTCCTCTTTTTCGTTCTCTTCGTTTGCTTCGTTCGCTTCGCGCTGCGGGATAGCTTTGGCTGGGCGGTTTGCACGTTCAAGGGCGGCGTACTGATCGTGAATTGGTATAGCTGGTAAATGGAGTCGAGAACGAGTGGATATCCCTGGGGGTTGTTGCGGGAAATCTGCTCGAAGAACTGTTCGATCTGGTGAGTCGTCACGTTCGCTAGCGGATGATTCGTCGTTGGAGAAGTATTCTTCTTCCCGGAACTGGACTTCTTCTTCTGCGGCATTAGCGTGAGACATTAGCTGCGTAGCGTACGTACCGGTTTACGACATAACAATCACTGGTGGAGAGGGTTGTAAGGTGTCCAAGTAATCCGAAAATACGTAAATAAATGATGGAAAGGTCACAAAAGTATCGCGGTATATAAAGATACTTTTTCAAAAAGAAAACAAAATTTGTCATGGGCACTCGTGTTAACTGAGTAAAACAGTCAACGGCCCTGGAGCCACCAAGTTGTTACGTGCTTATTTCGTAAAGGCGCGGATGTTACTGTGAGCTTTAATGATAGAATAAGCTGAAGGATACAAATGTCAGCCGGCGCTTTATAAGCCGAGCTGAGTTCCAAAACACATGTAAATAGATTAGGGCAGGCGCAAGAAAGATACTTCTATGATACACATATAAGGAGATATTATTAATAGTTAAGCTAATGTATACTCGTAACAGTGGTTTTGATGGAATGTCAGCTGATGAACTATTTGGAACAGTTGTCGAGCAAGGGATCGTTGGCTGGCTTGCGCAGGGCTTCAGTCGGGGAATTTCTTTTTTCTCGGGCTTCCAGCGTTTTCCCGCTTTTTTAGCTTTAGGCTTCATAACAGTCCACTCAGTTGCATAAACTCTTTCGCAGAGGTTTTCCATCGCTTTGTTGAATTCATTGACATTTTCCTGAGACAACGTTGACGCTGCGAGAGAATTACTCTCAATTACATTCAGTGGAGGAGTTGAATGCAATGGCTTCTGTTGATCACTCAAGGCTTGCTTCAGCTGGTCTTCCAGATTCTTGTTCTGCAGTCCCAAACGTCGAACTTCGAATTCCAAGTCACTCACATGAATCAAAACTTTTCTAAACTCAGGCATAAAAGTTTTCCAAGTTACAGAAGCGTCGAAATCGAAACAATAAGTCGGTGGCTTCATTATGGTGAATTTACCAAAAGGAAATCTGAATGAATGAATGACACCGTACATCTGGTCTTCACTGACGAACTCCTCATCGGAAAGGTTACTTTCCAAGGCGTGGTCAAACGTCTCCCGAATAATCCTGTGTAAATCACATTCCCGTAAACATGCCATGCTTTGTTGGGAGAATCGTTGATCAAAAGCGTTGAATAGCGGGGAAAACTGTAGATCCTCTTTCGTCAGGGGAATTCGGCGTTTATAGCGCTCCGGTTGTTTTAACGAGAAGGAGACATTCAATCCCGATGCGAAGTACGAGGACATTTGGGTGCTGTGAACATACCCTGCACGATTAGGCTGCTATGAACAGCCGGCTAAATTTATAGCCGTTTGCATTCAGACTGTGATATCAGTAGCGTTGCGAGCTACGGCTAACCAGCTGTTCATCGCAGCCTAATCGTGCAGGGTATGTTCACAGCACCCAAATGTCCTCGTACTCTTTATCATACTGCATTAGTTCAGCAATCTCGTGGCATTGCCGCTCTGACGTACAGACCAACCGCCCGAAGATCCGTGCCGGGCGATCCGCAATGGAAATCCACTGGTTCATCGTCCTATGCCGGTAGCTGTTATCCGTGGTGTCCACACGCATGCTGCGAAAGGGAATAATGCGGACGTCTGGGGGCGTGTACTGCTGCAGTTTATCCGTAACAAAGCGCTGGATGTACGCTTCGTAATCGGTGGTCCATAGGTCAAGGGAGAAGAGGACAACCTGCTGATTGGTGGCGTTGTTCAGCATGATCCGGGTGGAGTTGGGCGAGAAGGTGCAGGCGGGGGTGTACAGATACGACACGCTGTGGTTCGTCTGTGATTTGAAGACGCGAATGTGGACGTTGTTGTATGGGATGCTCATGGATTCGGTTGATAAATCCACCGCTGAAAAGAAGCTATTTTACGCGTACTTAATTAAAGACGCTTATAAAATCAACTGCAGTATAAACGCTTTCTACAACAGATGTACATACACACATAATATTTTATGTATATGTACATAAAATATACCTATTTTATGTATATATGTGATATCCTCGGAATGCAAATTTATAAATTTTCATTGTTTAAATAGTACGTCTAACTGTTATCAATGTTTACTACTTTACTCTATCAAAAACCGTGTCAAAAAAACGCTTATTTTACCTGGATGCCGTAGTGTAAAGGTAACCGCAAGAATGCTCAGAATAGCGATAAATAAAATAAGCATATAATTCCAGCGCATGGTAATTATTAGTTTGGTTTGCGTGGCATTGAAATGTGATATACCGTAGCTTACTTAGGTTGAAATGCACATAGTATGTTCCACGTGGATTATCTGTGGGAATAAACCTGCATAGTTCATCACAAACGATCAGCGTTACGCTGTTGTAGGTTTTCGGTTGTCACGTCAGCAACAGTATGACCGCATTTTGTTGGCAAACCTAATTTTATTGGCTCTCAGTACAATTATATTGACGCGTTATGAGCGTAAACGATAAATTACTACGAGATAATAAAATTTTATTATGTGATTACTTAAATGCAACGTGCAGTACGAAATACGGTTTTTGTTAGAATTAGTAATCACACACCAACAGTAGTATTTCTCGTAATTATTAGTTGTATTACCGCGAATACCATAAGCGTGGCATTTTAAGGAGCCGTTAACATGTCCAGATCCACAAAAACAGTCGAAACGATGTTTTCTCCCAGCTGGCCGCCCATGTGCGGCGAGAAAACCATGGTCTCACCGGCTGCATGAATAGCATAATACACGTGCTCACCTCGCCTAAGTAGGCGATGCGGCATGTGTGTGTACGAACAGGAGTTTATTATTGAATTTTTGAATAGAAGTTCTGGTTTGGGTTGCGGAATCGCCAAGCGAAGCCGTGTGCTTTAACAATGTAGTGTTCGCCGCCTAACGGCCCTTAACGCCTTAACCAGTGCAGTGTTTGAGTAAGTACAAAAACATTTTTCTGTATATGTACAGAAATGTATAATAAAAGTATTATCTGTTTCTTTACGGATACAAAAACTGTTTCTGTATACCGGAATACAGAAGGAATTTTCATGAAATTCAGTGGTTCATAAAAGGATTTACGTTCTGTACGGTAATGCCAGCGATATACCTACTCGTATTTCATGCGAAGTTAAATATACATACGTCGGACGTCATATGGATAATGTGCGGACTACATATTTAAAATTAATATTAGCAGGCGCATGAGAAAGCTCGTCGTGCTGTTATTATTTTGCTTTTCGGTATCGTGCTCCAAGTCATGCGAGCACGTAGCGGCAGTATACGAGTACAATAATAATAATAATGTCTGGATTAGATGTGACCGTCGGTGAATGACCTGCATTTGTAAATATGAGTGTAAACCTAATTCTGCGGTAACTCGTGCTCCGAATCGAACAAGCAACTTAGTAGACGGAAGCGCGACATTGTCAGTACTCGTATTGACAATATATATTGTTTTCGCGCTGTTAAAGTAAAGTATTCACAGATTGTTGGAAACAGTGAAGTGCAGTGCGACTTACAACCAGTCATGACGCCGCGACAACAAAAAGCATTGAATTGCTTCTGTCGGTCATTTGGCTGCTACAGCTAATTTCAGCTTAATTGTTGTGCGTTAAATTTGTGCCCGAGTAATTTATTTCAAGTTGAATTCGCCCGATTGTATACCATTTGTGCACAGAAGCAAGGTTAGGGAAAGGTCAAAGTTGCACCGAATAACGCTACGAAACAACAGTACACTAACAGCCGCATTATTGCTACATCATTATACGCTACAGCTCTGCTGTTCACTGGTCCATCATACCAACCGATTCATCCCGGTCCCCAGTTGCGGGAGAGAAACAGCTGGCGAACTCGTCCGGATTTGCTGGCACTGGGCTGCCCCGCACCGGACACCCCGGGAACCGGTTGGTCGGAGCTCTTACGGGCCGCCTGTACTTTGATGTCTTTGCCGCGCGGATATCCCATGGTGCTGCCACCGGCGCCCCATCCTCCGGTGTAGAAGATGTGACGCTTGTCCACCGGTCCACTAATGATATCCGGCAGTGCCATCACCGCCGGCTCCATGTCCAGGAAGTCGCGCAGCCCGGTGTCGCTGTCATTGTAAAGGTCATCCTGTCCGTAGACGTAAGCGATGATGAGGATAACTACCAAGCTTGGGCGCAGCATCTGGTCAACGGACAAGGAAACCTGATTAAAATGGTTAACCAATAAATACAACCGTATAAGTACGAAATAGGTTGGAGACGGTGTAACGTAGGTAGCGGTAAATTTTGCAGAACATTGTAACAGTTTTACGTCGAAAAGAGATCATGAAGCGGTCGAGTAACGCCCGTTGAGGGAAATGTTTATAAGGCTGCTTACTGGAATGGGTGGCGTCATTTTGACGCAACGGCAATGACTGTTGAAAATGTGTACTTATTTTTATCCAACAAACAAGTATGGAATTTAAATCGAATTAGTTTGATTTGTTTTGATGCTTAGCTGCTTCGATATGTGGCTTAAAAATAGCCCGCAATTTATTAACCACGCTTTTGGTTTGATGTTGTCGGTCTTACAGAAAAATCGATCAGTGCCATCCTGATTTGTGACACCTTCCTTTGTATGTGGTTTTCCAAGAAAAAAACTCAATGCAGCGCTTGAGATGTAGTAAAAGTTAATGCCGTGCGTGAGGTCGACGAACGCACTGATTTCTTGCTGGAGGGATTATTACGAGTAGTGGCTGATACTGCTAACCTGCGTTTTGCCGACTTTTCTATGCGGTTTCTTAGTATATTAGCAGTTATTTCATTGTACAAGGGTACAGGGTACTCATATTATACAATAATTAATGTATAAGTTAATATTCATTCTGTATTAATAAAACAGTATTGTACAGGACAAGTTTGCAAACGAACGGCTTAATTTAGGAGGAAACTAGCATGATACGAGGAAGTATAATACGAGTGACATAATGTATAGTATTTGTATCATTCATGCTCCGGTTTGTGAACAAAGGGTAACTTATCGGAGAGTGACGATTTTAAAACTCACCCAATGAACTACATCATAATATGATAACACTTAAACGTCTACAACAATGGTGCAGGGGTTGCGATGTAATCAGGCGGCTCTGCTTTTTTTGAAAAACAAAAATTAAAAACAGATGTTGTCATTTAAATCGAGAACCCTATGGACCAACTAAGGTTAGTAATTAAATTTAAGATTCTTACCTTCACCAGGTATGTGGAGCTGGAAGAAGATAATACGACTACCGGCGTCGAGCGTTTAGAACAAGCAGGAAACAAATACGCGGCAGCGATACCGAATTATAAAAGAATAGACATGATTTTCAAAAGACCACAAAATCTCGGCACAGCATACTCTGGCATCCCATTCTCACACTGCCGTGGATGCACTGAGAATGCCGGTTATATGGCCGTTTCTTATATCATCCGGCGAATCCAGCGAGGTGCTCATACACCGGCGCTCTGGGGCGAAAGGAGATCACAGGAAAAAGGCTTGTGACCCATTAGGCTTTTCCGTTTTTTCTCAACTGTCAATAATTGTCGACGGTGCGCATAACTGTCTACCGGAAGGCACAACGGCAGGGTTATGCAACGGCGGTGCGGTAAAACTTAGAGTCTACTCCGGTGCTCACTGACAAATCCAGTTTATGATCATAATCGGAAAAAAACCTTTACTGTGCTTGTTGTATCTGAAACCTACTTAGATCGGTGGTTCTATGGCACAACTGAACGTGTCAAGCTCCAAGGTAAGATTATGATGTTCTTTTATTTGACCACAATATCCCGTGCTGTGTTTTATAGCAAACTGATCTCCTCATTGCCATGCTGACGTAATGTCGCTGCTTCATTATATTAATCCTGTATCGATTCTAACGTTTTGATACATGATGAGACACTACACTCCCATCTACTGGTGACGCAGTATGCGCTCGTAATTATGTGACAAGCTAATTAGTCTCGCGTATACAGAAAACAATTATCGATTTCGTGGTGTGGCTTTACTGCTATAGCTATAGCGTGAAGGGCGATATTATTAGACATCTAGGTGCATCTATTGCGTGAGGTGTGCCGCAATAACGTTGCAGTTTCCAGTAAACGCCGTGTTGAGACGCTGCATGACACTGTCATGGACGAGTTAATTTGACTGTGTAAATATTTTGTTTTGATTCGGTCGGAGCGCTGTTGCTCGTGGCACATGGGATTTCACCATTACGCCGTTCTTCTGCTCTAACACAGAAATGACCAATGCATTCCTCGGCGAATTCTCAACAAACCGCTCTTTGCTCGGACTTGCTTCCTGAATATTTAGTCCAAATATCCATGACGTACCGCGATTCTTTTTCATATTGTGGTGGTGCTCAATCTGGCAGCAACATTTTATAAAATATTTATCCTGAACCTACTGCATTTCACAGCATTTAAACTGCATGATCGACACAGCCGCTTAATGCGATGGAGAAGCGAAACTACTGCTACTGCAGCAGAATGTTGTTAATCTTTATGATACTAGCTTCGTGCGCCAGTAGCCGGAGAGTCATTTTGTTGTCCGTACAGTCGTGGACATCGCTGCCGTCCAGTCTGAACTATGTCAGTGCACCGATCGACCTGGCAGTCATGACCGTCAACGTTTAATGGGTGATTCACAACATTACATGATTGTTTCAAAACAAATTCCGCACACAAGTAGATTTACCAAACTCTGAAAACAAGACAAACAAGACTGACGAAAATCCAAAAGACAGAACCCACACATGCCACACAAACTAGGTCACTGGTTGAATGGCCAAACGCAAAGCGTTGAATTACTAACCCCAGATTACATCGTGCGTAACATGCAAGAGGTCCGGCTCCGAACTTCCACATCTCATTCATCCGTCCACAGGGCATGGAGGATCCACTCGCCAAGGAGTTCGCGAAAATGGCTACAGAGAGATGACAGTAATGGGAGGGCAAACGATGAGGGTTCCAGGGGCCAGCAGGGTTCCAGAATGTAGATCCACGGTTCTCAGCAGCACCAAACACGGAAAAAACGCGCATGAAACGTCGGAACGCCGTACTTGCTAGGTCACTGGTTGAATGGCCAAACGCAAAGCGTTGAAGTACTAGCCCCAGATTACATCGAGCACAACGTCCAGAGACCCCACGCGGTCCGTCTCCATGACCAGCAAACTTTTCCCCGCAGCTCCAACTCCAGCCCCAGCAGGGCTCCATACAACAGACAGGAAGACAGGGCGACATGTGATAACAGTTATGGGTTCGGAGTATCAAGAAAATGAGAGAAATGCACTCAGGGGGGACAGGGTGAAGCAGCGACCCAGTGCTAATGAAGGCGCGCTTCAGTAGCGCCGAGACGTGCGATCAACTCCGTCAAATGGTTCGTCCCTGCCAATCTGGTTCGAACCAGAAATGGCAGGGCTTCTTATTTTATCAAAAAGGTTGACCAAAAAACACTAGAATCGCAGCAAAAACCAAGAGCTCTAGACAAAGTCTGTCTAGAGAAAAAACCAGCAGATGTGGAACTAGGTACAACCTACTAGTAATGACCGTCAACGAGAGGTATAGAAGTATGGATGGTAATATGGTATTTTCTGTCGTTGACTGGCAGCGCAACCAGTCGCGCACATGTGGTGATGTACAAAATGATGTGTTACCCTTTGTGACGGAATACTACACCGCACAACACTGGAAGCAGTCGGCTGACGATGTTTTTGTTCTGCTTGCTACCGGTGAGTGACTACCACCAAGAACGGCTAAATAAGTTTATTTGACTTTATAGTTGCGGCTTCGAGTACGGACTACGAAGTAGATATAAACCGGTTATGGCATTTTTTACCTTAACGGAGAAATTCCTTTATTATAGGTTATTTTTTGTTAATAGGCGAAAATTTGAAAATTACAAGATATTAGTGTGCGAAGATGTTATATGCAGTATTAACCGCAACCGAAGAAGAGTGAAGCTGTATGAAGTATATCTGTATCTAGCAAACTTAATGAATATTCGCGAAAATTCAGTTAGGTTTCTTACGTATTTGACGATCTTAAATTATAAAAGAGTTTTATTCGATTACAGCATGCAGCGAAGCGGTTGGGTATCTTGCAGACCTTAGGTTGGTAAACGATCTTTACTTATTGATCATTTCTATAAATGCTTAATTTTGTCTTCTTTGCGCAGAGCAGATAAATAATGTCATGAATTTTAAAATGAATTGATTTTCAGAGTGGAATATTTTGGTTATGACAGCGTGAGTGCAAATCGTGTATGGCTTACTTATCTGCTCATTGCTGTATGTATCCTTACTTACTGGTATCTGTACGTACAAAGATTTGCGCACCATTTATGCCTATACTAGCATATTTCCTTTTTCTTTTACTTTATTAATTTTTTTGCTTCGTTTTCAGGGGTGGTACCGACGCCGCACTCGAGAACAAACGCCGCTTCCCGACCCTCTTGCGTCTAGCTCCGTTCCAGCAGCAAGACCTGACGGACGTTGTTATGAGCTTGCTGCAGCAGTACAACTGGACCAATTTGGCGCTGATCTGCGATGATAGTGCCACCGAGTTCAATACCTTCTTCTTAATCTGTCGGGCACTGCCAGATGTCATCAAGAAGCGGCATTCCGTTGTCCTTACACATTTGCACTACGATTTAAAAGCCAATCCGGATTACGAGAGATATCTGACGGAAGCGGCAACATACAGCCGAGGTGCACGTGCTAAACCAATCATGACAGTTCCTGAACAAAATTAATATTAAAGGGGCTTTCGAATACGAGTACATCTACTGTATCGTCTGTCTCGCTTGGCACTTGACCCTTTCATATTACTTTCTAGTGCTTTTAATCAGCACACATGGCTCCCGTCTACGCAATATCCTGGTATGTACCTTGATGCGCTCAACGACTGCCCGTATTAATACAGTTACAGTATAAGATATTTCCTGTAATTTAGGTAGTGGCCTCAAAAATGGGAATGGCTAACGGAGAGTATGTAAGAACATTGCAGATTTTGCCACCTTCAAGATCAGCTTCCCAAGATGACTTTTCTTACGGAATCAATTGCAGGCGTTTATTGATATTCTTCCCTTCGCATCCCCGTTTATTGGAAAGCTAACCTGGAAAAATAACGACGACGATGATGCGGTAAGTTCTCCCAGCAACATCCTCCTTACCCTTCTTAATGCTGCAGTAATAAAGAAGTCACTGTTTCAGCTAGCCAAAGCGGCTTATCGCTACTTGTTGCTCGTTTCCTGTATGCCGGCTCGAATCGGCCAAACCGATGACCTTTCAATCCGGATCAAAAACAGATCGTCTTCTCTTTACGGTTTGCAGTATAATGGTGATGAAGAGGTACTGTCTAATACCGACTCCAACATTACCTGTCCCTTTTGCTGGCATTAGTCGAGGGTCGCACGGCTGTATCCATAATCTGTTTGCTCCGTTTCTGTATTTTTTTAGATCAACGTTTACGGCCGCGGGTACTACGTGGGCATCCAAATTTTGGCGCAGGTACTGACGTTTCGCGGAATTTTCTGCAGTCCAACGTTGCATTGCTGCATTAAATAGAGAAAAACCTTTGTGGTTTTTCCATTAGGTTTTAGCAGGATTACAGGCAGCTACCGTTTCTGGCGTCGAGCTATCGAAACTGATATGGAATCACAGTTTTGATACCGATTTTGGTTACTACAACATCAACTCCAATGGAGATTTTGATAGCGCAATGGGCGTGAGAGGCTTGGTTGAGGGTGGCGACAACATGGAAGTATGACTACTTCTATATTTTATACATAGTATTACAACAAGGCTTAATTCTGCGAAACTGAACGAATGTACTGTACGAGCAGATAATTTACCAGTACGAGAAAAAGTCTGGTCACCTCGTTGCCATTAATGGAACCAGATGGCTACTGAATGGCAGTGCGCCGCTGAACCGCCCAGCGTGCGGATTTCGAGGGGAAAATCCCAAGTGCCACCAACGTGGTTTGAGTAATTATTTGCACCGCAAAATTTTTGTTACAAATATATTCGCATATGTAGTGTATTAATTGCCTTATTTCGGGTATTCACACTTTGTAGCTCCAGAGTCATCCATTACGACAATTGCTGCCTCAACCACGGCTGTGGCGCTTATAGCTGCTGTAATTTTTATTGGAATGTGCTTCATCCGAAGGTAGGTAGCTGTACAGGCCACAGGAATTAAACCTATCCCGTTAATCCATTTTGCAACATCACTGCATTATCGATAATAATAGCTGTGTTTGTTCATTTCTACAACCGCAGACATCAACAAAGCCGCAATGTCAACTGGCTGGTACCAGCCAATCAAGTGCAAAGGTATTTTCCGTCGTTCGGAAGGTACGAGACCACCGGATCTTCGCATTCTGTGCGTACGAAATATTCACATGCATTAACTTAAATCTGCCGTCTTTAACTATTCTTATTTTTCCATTGTTTTCGTTAACTTTCGAATTTTAGAGATTTTTAAAGTTGTTCAGTTATAGATCGTAATAATATTAGTTTACCGTCTTTCATAAACAGCTGCATTCTCGGCACACAAAAACCGGCACCCTGGCATACCGGAACGTGTATGTCTACGGATCGCAGCTGGTGTGGTGCCGCTCCGGTCAGCTCAGTCATGGGACTTATGGCACGACGCATTTGAGCGGCAAATTGATCAAGCGAATTAACATGGTAAGAAGTCTGTTCGTAAATGGTATCTGCGATTAACTGGCAGCTGACTGCAGAGGAGCGCTCTAAAGCACAACAACATTGTTGACCTTGTGGGAGTAGCCTTGGAAAAAGACAAGATTATGATCTTTTCCCAATACCGTCCAAAGGGATCGTTGTACGAGATTATCGAGGAGAAACCATCGTGGTTGTCTTGGGATCTTAAAACCGCCATGCTGGCTGACATCATCAACGTACGCACATATTACTATCCTACCATGTATGGACTTTTACATAGTTTCTAACAGCGTTACGGATTTCTTAGGGGCTTGCGTTTATCCACTCCTCCGATTTAAAATTTCATGACGCTTTAAAAAGCCCAAACTGTATGGTAACCAATCAGCTGGTGATTAAGCTAACGGATTTTGGCTGGCCTAAGGAGATGACTGTTATCGGCCAGGTAAGAAAAAGCAAAATCGCAATTGCTTAGCTTAACAAATATTGAAGAACATCAAAACTTTTGCTTTCGCGCACTCCCAAACACATTTTTGTTTCAGTTTATGCCATTCTGTAGCCAGATGATTTGGATACACTGGCCTGAAAACCGTTTGTGCGCGCAACATCCGCTTCGGGAGTTATGGCTGTTCGAAAATTCCAAAAAGTTTAAATGCATTCAGGTGCACCAAAAGTCTCATTATGGGCCGATCTCAGTCAACTTTTGGAGTTGCACGTATGTAGCCGGCAAGAATGTTAACATGTTCACGGTTCACGGTGTGAGCATATTTGCCGGGCAAAAATGCTCACGAATGAAATCATGCATGTCAAGTGTAGATTTTCTCTGCATCCAGTCTGAAATTAAATATTTTATGTTCCTGTATTCTCAGTACGCAAAGGATGGCATTAATATGTTGTTGGGAAATAAAACGTTGGTCTCATAAAAACCAGTCTTTCCTAAACTTCGGCGACTTTTATCATTGAGTTTTAAGCGATTCTGTATGGTTGGAGCAGGACTACACAGCTATGATGAAGATGGCATTGTATTTGGCAGAAGATTCCCTGTCTGGCAGTCCGTCTTTACAATACGCAATCGTGACGTTGTTTATTTCTGAATATTTAATTGATTCTTTACTACGGGTATGTTGCTTTGCGAGCAGAACAAAATAGACGTTAATTTAGTGAATGGTGCCGGGCAGTGATGAACACGTTAGCTATTCGGTGGTAATCGGATACCGCTGGTGCAAGCCACACTTGCAATCAGATCAGAGGAATAACTCGGCCGTCTCTGCGTGGCAGTCTGCTGTATGGTCGTGAACATCGGCGCCGGGCGGGGATATCAACATTTTTTAGCCATGTAAATAAATCTAGAAAATTTCATAACACTTAATAAAACATAAAACTTAGCAATAGTGGTAACAAGCCAGTTTTAATTTAGAACTTCGATGCTCTATACCGGCTCAATCATAATTCAGAATTATATTCATAATTCAGATGCCATCATGCCTTAAATAAGTAGCCCCTGTGTGATCTTTGGTGTTTAGTACATACATAATATGAAACAGCGAAATCAGTCTCTGAGGTGCACTGTACCAGCTGACTTATCGGCTTACAGTTGCTTAATTTCATAATCAAATACTCCAGCAACCGGTCAGTTTCACAATTCATTTCAAACAACTGGTCACTCTCCTCATTCTGTGTCTATTGCTCCCTATAATTCTGTTAAGAAACCTGATATAACCACAAAAGTGATTTAGCTTTAGGTGCAAAATCGGAATTTACTCCCCCTGCAAATATTTCAGCAAAGTCAGGCCGCGAATTTCTGCTGTGGGCTGCAACGAACGTGCATTTGGGAAGGGGCTTTAATTACCTTTAGAGAGAACCTATGGCTGTAAAACTTGGGAGCAAGTGCGAAGCGTGCACTTCAAGTATAAGTACTTACGTATTATACTTGAATATTTATTGCCCACACTCTACAGCATATTAAAATGCTTACAAACATTATGGCATTCTGTATAATTATATTTTTTAAAATTGTATTCCCAAGAACTGCCGGTGTGGCTTTTTGCAATTCGACGGATGCTAGTATGCGAACGAACGATAATGCTGCACTGCCATCGTGAACATGGGAGCCGGGCAGGGATGTTCACGTTTGTGAGCACGCGTGCCGGGCGGGAATGCTCACGATTAGTGAGTCGGCGAAGTCCGCCTGGGCAGGCGACCGGGCGCCGTAAAACGCATTTAATCAAGGGAGCAGACAGAAATTCGTTTGGACAGACGCTCTGTCTAACTCTGTACTCTTGATTAAAACTGGTGCCCGTTTTACGGTTTACGGCGGACTTCGCCGACTCACTATTATAACGGTATGGTAATCGGACACTGCTTACATGAGCTGCTCTCGTTATCAGATATTTGAAGATGCGTTAATTTATGTCATTAGCCTCTGCCGCTGAATGCTTTATGTTTTGCGGCTTTTCCACCTGCGCAGAATTCGTGAACATGTGTGCCGGACGAGTATGTTTGCGTTTGTAAAAATGAATAGTTTACTTAGTTGAGTATTAAGCTTTAAGAAATTATGCAACATAATTGGCTGTAAATACTATGCCATGATGACTTTGGCTAGCATCGAAGAAAACTTTTTTCTAAAGATGGGATGTGCGCTAATACACAACTGCAGTTAAGGGAAGTGTGCCGGTACAAGCCACTACAAGGTACATGTTACATGTGCTAAAACATTCGATTTTGCGCACTCCCAAACACGTTTGTGCATTGTTTTATGAACTCTGTAGCCAACTGATTTGTATACGTACATTGGCGTAAACACCGAGCCCCAGCATGCCTTAATTTAATTAAATTTGGTCGTGGGCTTCTGACTCGAGATTTTACAGTATGGTAGCGTGAAAATTCCCGGGGTTCACGGTGCCCATTGCATACTGGTGTCACGCCTAAAAAGAACCGAGATAATAAAGAATTAACCAAATATAGTGCAACAAAATGAACAAAGTCTGCATAGCAACGATAATTCACTACGATGCTCCAATAACTTTTTAAGGTTTGTACAGCAGTATATTGGGTTCCGAAATCTTATACATATCAGGCCAAGTCGGCACTGGTGCTAAAAAATAATGTGGACATTCGCGCTCGGCACGCGTGCTCTCGAATATGAGGCTTATGAGCAAAATACTGTAACAGTAGCCAATCTGGCTCCTGTTCTAGTGGGTTGGCGTGTTGACCTTGCCACGATGTTGTGTGGGCTGTTGGGATGAAAGGTAGGCACGACCGGCAACGGCGCGGTCGTGGACGCTCTTACTGACGTAACACAATTACTGAACGTAACAACGGAAGTTCACGGCATGTTTAATGACAAGAACAGTGCAACACAGGGACAAGGTTCAGCAAGAGTTTAACAAGCAGAACAAGCTGATCAAGCTGATGCAAGCTATAACAAGCGAATGCAAGACTGAATTCTAAAAATTGTGAAGAAAAACAGCTAGCCGGTAAAAGGACAGAAATTCATAACCCAATGATGAATCATAACTGGGTGGTCTTATGGTTGTACAACTTCTATCGCTACAATACTAATGCAAAATACTGCCATCTACTTAACTGATTAACAGCAGTTCTTAATTTAGAAATAGGGAAATTTGAAAATTTGTTTCCGGGACATCCTCAAACTCCACCCAATTTTCCAAAATAATTTACGGTAAAGTTTGACCTTTATATAAGTCTAGTCTAATTTAGCTTTTGTGTGTGGTGAAGATTGCTCTTCCGAATGAAATCAACATGTTGCCAATCAGACATTAGATTAGACATTAGACTCATCACACCTTGATAAATTAGACGGCCATTTCGTTCAGCCACCCGGTATAAGCCGAAAAATCCCGTTTCGCTATTTATTCATCTTAATCCTTTGATAAATAAAAATCTGGAAATACATTTTGCAGCTCGAAAAGTTAACATAAATAAACATGTGCATCGCCGCCCGGCACACAAGTTTACAAACTTAATGCAAATTTGTACGTGCTATGTATTACACAGATAACGAAGTACGAGGATCGGCCCCAACAAAGAAAAAACGCTTTTTATCAGTTTTTGATGAGAGCGGTTTATATTACCGTTTTGTTACCGATTGCCGTGCAACTACAAGCGTGAACATCCTCGCCCGGCACGCGTGCTCACAAACGTGAACATCCCTGCCCGGCTCCCATGTTCACGAGTGTAACATGAACCGCCTGCCTCCATGCGGAGTAAGAGCGCGTCTGATCGGCATACGAGAGCGGCAAATGCTAGCGGTATCCGATTACTGCATAGATCTTACATCGTGAGCATCCCTGCCAGGCGTCCGTACTCACAAATACAGATACGATGTACAAGGAAAAAAAGTGGGCAATGCTTAAACATATCTGAAAATCTGTGCGTTATTTATCGGTTATTCTAAGTGAAAACGAGCAACATCTGTTTTTATGTGTTGTACAATACAGTGGTGAAGACTACAGAGATCAAACTGCAGTGGGTTCCATATATATACTTCCGCTTTGCGCTGTGCTGCATATTAGGTACGGATTCATATGAGAATGAAAGAAACTAGTACTTCGTATAAACGTGGCCAGGTGTACAATGTAAATTCCCATGGTGCGTATATAAATCATGGCCGGTATACGGGTTACCTGAAATCATTTGGCTACAGAATGTCTTACAACAAGAGAATAAAAGGTTTGGAAGTGCGCGAAAGTCAAAGATTTCGTGCATGTACACGAATTTGGTACCATGTGCCGGGCCAGTTCCCTTAAATTTTACAAATGTTTTGAGAAAAGTTTCACCCTTTTGTTACGGTGCAATTTTATGGGCGACAGTTTTAACGGACAACGGCATTAATGTCTGTGAGTGTTCACCTTGTGCGAGTACTACGATAATTATTTGTTCATTTTTTTCAACCCCATTTCCCTCACCCGATTTTCCATTAGTTAGCCGTAAAATCTTTAAACAGTACGCAGATAATTATCATTTGAGAATTAAATCAATTAATCACTGTTTAGATTCTTTCTTTGCATTCTTCTTAGACGACGGAGCAGCCGCTACGATTTCAGGTGCTCCAACGCCGGGCGGAATGTAGTCAGCCGGGGGTGTGTCGAAAAGTTGTTGATTAGAGTAAAGGCGCGCATTAGCGAAATCTTCATAAGCAGCAAACCTAAAAAACAAATAGCAAACGTCTCATTAATGCTTTTGTTCAGCGTTACCATGATTGCGCTAATACTCGTATCCCGGTATCCGTACAGCTCACAATAACTTTTAAAAATACCGGCATCATGAATGAGTCAGAAACACTGAAACCTGTTTTTACCTTGAGCAGTCGACGTTGAAGAAGTAATCACAAACCAAAGTGACCTGGTTGAAAACGGTAGTGTTGACACACAGGTAGCTCGTCATATTCCCATGAATATCACAGCGGTGGAACACTTGACACTGCGCCTCAACGTCCGCGTAAAAACCGGGCTGCTTTTTGCTATTACAGTCGAAATTCGTCTGCGGAATGACGCTGTATGTCGGATACTGTCCATCGGATTTACTGGCCAAGATGGCTTGCACTTCTTGCGCATCCAATGCCGGTTTTAGTAGATCAAACACGTACTGCTTCTGAGCGGCAGCTGCAGCAACAAAGCAAGCAATGAGGAAACTCAGGAAAGCCTTCATGGTGAATATCTGATTGACGAATTTGCTGCGTGTATTACTAAAACATCCGATGTCACGTCAACTTTTTACCGGCAAGATTCTACTAACATACGTATTACAAGCACGCGATTGCTTTTTTATCGGAATGATGAACAAAATTTTTATAACCAGAGGCGCTGGGATTGGTAGCAACGTTTGCCAAAGATTTTCTAACCCTCGGAATTTTATTGTGTTTCAAGCAAGGCAGCCTTATTACGGTGCTTGTCTTGTGTCTTCTTCAGCCGGAAGCCACGTTTGTACATCCGTGGACAGAGATCGGTGCACGTGATTCGCCTTCCAGCAGTCACAGACTTCTAGTACAGCAACATGATTAATTTATTTAGTAATTTATTATTGAACTAAATCTAAATCCCCGAAAAGGTTTTCGCTAAAGCTAACGGTATGAACTGAAAAAGCAGGTAAACTTTGGAAACAAAAAAGTATGTAGAACTGATTTGTGTTACAGCTCTCAATAATTCTATCAATTTTGGAACAATGCATAATAATCATTTCTAATTGCAGAGCCCACGGAAAATTTATGCTGGAGTTCATTGCTCCGTAAAATTTTACCAGGGGCATTTAGCAAACATCATAACAATTATGTGCACGGGATAATACAGTATCTGTACATACACATTCATACAATTGTACGAGCATAAACAGAGTACGAAGTGCTAATGCGCTAACGTCAATACCGTCCCGGAAACACTGAATTGTACAAATATAGCCGGCAAAATATAGAGGTGTTTTTCATCTTGTGCTTTCGGTTTTCATCATCCTGTCCAGTGCTTCATTTTACAGTCTGTACTGTAATGCATAATGTAATTCATTAATAATAATTACTAGTAGACCCCGCGCAAACTGCGCGCAATATATCGGCTACGTAATAGGAACGATTTAAAATCAGAAGGATATCATCATTATTTATCTTTTGGTGACGAAGATCACGGTTTTTTTGTGTCATCAGCGCTATCATGCACTGTATTGTTTGTGCGAATAATGTTTTCGTGGCAACGTCACAAAGTTGAAGCAATTGTAAATCCCCAAGTCTAATACCGGAAACAGCACAATGAGTCTATGACTCACCATCAGAACTAAGGAGCAGACATTGCTCGTGTTTCTGGTTTCTGTCTATCCCCTCCGTAAAAATAATTTTTCGACCCCTGCCCTTTAATCCGAAAGTATCAGTACGAAGTATAGGAAGTGGTGGGAAAGCGGAATGCAGTCTCGGGCAAAAAATATTGCCACGATTAATGTCTCACTTGATGTTCCGCTCGCGCCGCAGCTTGGCATCGGGCATTCGGTTCTTATTCCTCATAAAGGAAACAATCAGATTTTCAAAAATTTACGACGCAAAGGAAAGACTTATAATGTTCCGTGACATCTGGAGCCACCTCTTCTCAGATCTAATTTTTCCTGGTTCTGCAGAGTAACTGACTTGGAGTAAAATCCATCGAATGATAGACCCCGCGCAAATTGCACGGTTTAGATCGGCTACATACCGTTCTGACTTCTGAGGATAATTCAGTCCAACAGCTACCACTATTATATGGTATTTTGTAGTATGAGCGATGTGCAATACGCAATACGGTATTTATTAAACTTCACCGAGCAGAATAGGGGTGGCGCCATGGCTGTTGACTTACAACGATTTTTTTTTAAATTTTTCTCCCTTGCTGCTTTGCCTTCTGCTGGTTGCCACACATTTTACAAAACAGAAATTTTAGAAAACCTTTTTTTACTGCTCTCGAGCCCGCTCACTGTGCCAAAAGTGCCTACTTCCATTGCTCACCAGCTGCTGCCCGTGGACGCGTTGCTGGTATGCTACTTACTTTAATTTAAAACTGGTCAGACTCCTGCGGAGGGCAGTTGTCTTAATGATCATGGTGGAAACTGTTCGATACGCTTCGACTCAGATCTTCGTTGCTTTTTTCATCAGACTCTCCTTTCTTTCGAGTCTGAGTTTCGATGAGAAAAATAAAAACGCGAGGCTCCCTATAATTTATAAACATTCAAGTTTCGTTCCAGTGAAACGCTCTGGAGGCCATTGGCTGCTTGGCAGCAAGGTGGTTTTTCACCGTTTTTGGCTGTTTATTTGAGACAATGGTGAGGTGGTCGGTTCTGCAGTGGTGGATTCTTCACTTCTCCCGTAGACTCGGCATGTTAAGTTTTTTCAATGTTTTATGAAATTGGAACTGTTTTTCTCAGATCTGACTTTTGATGGCTCTACTACACGATAAGAGCTATCGAATGATACCAAGACATCGAAGTTTGGTCCTGTGTGTGGCTGGGACTGACTCCCCGCAGTTGAATTTTGAGCACTTCTTATTCTTTTAGTATAAAGGAATTAAAGGATTTCAAACATTTAGTTGCATGTTGCTGCTTATGTGAAGTCTTAATGTATAGTAATTCCTCTTCTGGTTTGTGCCGGCAAAACGTTAAAGCAATTACAGTATACCTAAAGGATCAAATTGCAGAAGATAAATAACCTTACAACACTTTAGTGTACCGAAGCCCGCAAAACAAAAACAGAAGAGCTCTTTAGCAAATGCAGTAATCTATAGCCAAAAAAACATCCTGTCCAGTGTCCACATAGTAAGTGACTTAGAACAGGCCACCGATTAAAACATCCCACCTAATCAGCTAATGACTTCTGATGCCCCAGAATTTTAGCAACAGAACCTGGTACAAAATTCGTTAATATGTGTAAGAAAACGATTATACTCTTTCCGCAAACACGAGGCAACTGTAAGGAAAACCTATCAAATCTTTTTACTATTTACACGCAATCCTGTTTCTCAAACATCCACGCGCGCACTACATTACTCGATTCCAGCCGGGAGATCAGCAGCCAATTGGATTTGCAATCGTAAGGAGAAGTCAGTCGGGTTAACGTATCCTTTCACCGGATCCAGTAATTCCTGGACATAAGCATTTATGCACATATACGAACAATGTTGAAGCAAGGATTACAGCACGAACACCGCTCACCTGCATCGCGATATACCGCGAGTATCCACGGGTAGAATGTTCACCGTGGAACAGACGGGAATTTTCTACAAATTACACCGCTGAGTTTACCTCCACGAAGATATTCAAGGATATTCTTCTGCTGTCTGAGATTTTGCAAACTATCAAGCAAAAAATTATGTAAATGCACCTTTTTTAATTGGCGCAGTTCCCATTTTCCATGGAAGTAGGCGCAGCTGTACTTTAACTTGACAGGCCCAGGGAGCCGTCGGGCTGCCAGGGGGCCCGGAACCGTGCAGGTAGAAGCCCAGAGCAGCAGACTCATCGACAATCTTCTTGGCCACCCCTAGGCTCCTGCCAAACAAATAACGATGCATCAACTGTATTAACATTTCGCCTAATTTGCAGTTCCACTATGAGTCTATGACAATATTCTCACCAATACAGGTTTCTGAATGTCACGGGATTGCTGAACGTAATGTTCTCCTGCAGAATCCTCACATCGGGAACCGTATAATAAATGACGCGCGCTACAGTTACCGAAGCACTTCCTATAACACATGTTGCCCTTTCTGTGGCACACGTCAAAGCACTAACTTTCTCGGGGCTCCGTACGAACGGTAGCTGCGGTTTATCTGTGGCGTGCTTATAGCGAAGAATGTCCCGTAATTCTGAATGCAGCAACAAACCAGTCTGAAAAATATTTCACATTACGTCGGCATAAAAAATATGATCACGAGGATGATCACATCAGACAGTATGCTGAACAGTGCGAGAATAAGCCGGCTTCTGTAGGAGCAGCGGCTATTTTGATTCAACCAAGAGCAACTGGCCATCGGTTTATGACAAGCACAGCACCTTATCAGGGCCATCCATTAGCTGTTTGTCGGTTAAGAGCGGGAACCGGACGAGATACAGCGCCTGGCCCAACATTTCGCGTCGATTCACGGCAGATGCCTCGATATTCATTTCATCACAGGCGCTCGCAGCCCACCTGCCAACACGAAGACCGCAGCAGATATTACCAAGCTGCGGCATCAATATAAGCAATTTCATACGGGCTTCCCAAACTAAAGAGCACTGGAGCTAAAAGTACTGTAATGACTGTATCCTAAAATATGTATCGGAAACCCACGGTGTCAGGCGGTCAGACCTCCATAACTACAGTCTATATGCCGTAGTGGCACGGTACACGACTCTGGCTAATGTCAAGTCGACAATCCAGTGCTTTCGAGAAGATCCTACGGTCCTCACCTTTTAGATGGTATGCTCATCGGCGGCCAACGTATCGCGTTGGAGAATCATCTGCACCGAGTTGTGTTCTATGGCAGGGAAGTGATCGGACTGCCAGACAGCTTCCGCTGATTCATCAACCAGGCGCAGACACTCCTCCAAGACGCAGGGCGGTGTGCAATCATAACGAACGACCTACAGATGACAAGAATTCGTCACAAAATGCTGAATGTACAAAACCAAGGTCCAAGCAGCCAAGGATGCCAACCATCTCCAGAATCTCTAGACAGTTTTCCGCCTTAAGATAATCCAGGATAAAGCGAGTGCACTTGGCCACCAGCGCTGGTAAGTCATATTTATCCACACAGCTCTGCGTCCGGAAAACATTGTCCTTGTTAAGGATTTCTACGGTGTCCGTGTACATGTAGCTACACCAGTCAAAAAAATCACCGTGAGCCCTCATGTACATGCTTCCCCGAAACAGACCTAAAGAGTAAACACTAAACAGACCTGAGCATATTAGCAAAGGCGTCAGGATAAATATCCGGGATATCCAAGGGACCAGTGCCGTTCTCTGGCATGCTTCCATAAAACATGGTGTGGAACACATCGCTACGGGCACCCATGATGACTCTGAAGTCTGAACAACAATGAAGTCCATACTGATTAGAACAGAGAACCACCCAGTTCAAGAGGACTGAAGACAATGGTCGTGGATAGCATGAAAAACTGAACAAGCACCTGTGAGCTGGAAATATCCGCACTTCGCCACACTGGCGTCCCACCAGAAACTGAACATCGCTCATATCGCCACAATCCAGCACCTGTCTCATGCACTCAATCATCTTCCCGACGTCACCGCGATTACCCCGGTTGGAGGGCTCGGTCGAATTAGTAGCCATGGTTGCTGCGTAAGTCTCATAACTGGAAGAGACTGGAAGAAACTGAACTAAGGTTCAGACTTCAGAGTTACGGTTCAGACTACTGAACTAAGGTTCAGACTTCTCGTGAACTTGGAATGAAAAACTACAAAGCAACTGCAAAAATTCACGATAAAATGGATCATCACTGTTTTAGCGAATTTGTCGTCAGTCTGACACATAGCTGCTGCTGCCAGGGCACATGCCCATTACACGTAATACAACTGTACAAACCGTCTGCCGTCCACTCTAGAAGGCCATGCCCGGCATTAAACAGCTGATGGGGGGTACTTACTTAAAGTTTTGCTGTTAACTTGTTACAATACGGAGAAAGCGACAACGAAAACGGTAATTGGGAACATTTTAAATCCCCGTGAAATGCATGCTGATCAAAATGCAGATCAATCAAATCAAAAAAAATCTATTTGTTATTTGATTTATTAATCCACATCAGCTTCTAGGGGTGCAATCTTAATTTATTTTAGTTTTGAAGCACCTAAACCAGAGAAATTTGTTTTACACAGAGGTTCTATTTAATAAAGTTGGATGTCTGCGTTTATATGCAATAAAAATCAGGAAGTTCAGTCGCCGTTTCCTTTCAGCTAAACACTCCTCTCACCGAGCTTATCTTTCTAGTAAACTGTATTCTGCATGATACCCGAACATAACAGCTAACGATGAAATCGATAATTACATGTATTTTACAGAACAAAACATACGAAAAATTAGTTGTATACATGCGAAAATTAGTTGCATGGTAAGTCGTAGCATGAGACGTTATATGAGTAAGGCGTGTTTTCGTTGCCGGTGTAATAATTGTCAGAAGTCCATGCTTGGAATATCTCGGGGTCCACATGGGTGAGATTTCCTGCACAGTCCACGTTTAGCACGTGCACACCTTCTTTGAGGGGAAACCAAAACTTGCTGGGAGTTTTATAGTCGCCAAAGGTCAGCACTTCTCCGCTTTCTCGCTTCTTTGTTAAATATGGTTTCTTTTTGAGGAAATTGCGGTACCACGCATAGGAACAGTCGCAATGCAGCTTTTTAATATTCGCCATATCCTGCTCATTCATGCATTTCCATGACATCAGTGGGGCACAGTGATTATACCCTTCTATGAAAAGATCGACGTCGCGTTCCAACGTTAAGCTCTGCAAGTTTGCCAGATCGGTGAACGTATACGGTTCCACCTCCTGAATACTGGAGGCGGTGAAGTATATCATGCGAATATTGGGCATTCGGAAAAAGTCTCCCTTGTGTATCACGAGATTCCGGCCTTCCTGAAAACTCAGCGCGACCAAATTGGGCAGGATTCCCACTTCGAAGACTAGAGCTGTAATGTTGGGGGCGTAGCAGCGGATTATATCTATTTGGATCACCTGGATGACGATGAAATAAATTCGATAATGGATTGTTTTACGTTGTAAAATCAAAAACAACTAACATGTTAAAAATCTGATGAACATCTAATGTACTAAACAATACCTGATTGCGAATCGGTTCGAAGACGTCTTGGTGAACGGGGGTGAGATCTGACGGATCATAAGGCTCATACTCTCTATCTGCCAGTTGTACGGTTAAAGCACGCAGCGGACTGATGACACTGATATTCTTTGCAATATAAGCCACTGCGTCGCGTCGTGCAGTAGTATGACACTGCAGATCCACGTAGCTTGTGTCCGATTCGTTGACGTTTTCTACTTTCCAACGGTTGACATACCCGTGCCTGGTTTCCACGAGGCAGGTCTGGTAGGCAGGAATGTCGTCATTGGACCGCATCTGCTCATACAAGCGCGTTTCAGTTGCCGTCAAGTTGTCCTTTCTGAAGGAGGAAATACCCAAAGGAGCTGCGTCGGCTTTGGCTGTTGGGTTATGTGGCGGATGACAGTCCGTTTCTAGCTTAAGCGTCGTGTTCAGTGGCGTTCCGACGGAACCTTTGTGGAAAAGAATAACCGGTAGGGCAACCGTTTTATAATTACACATGCTATATTACTCGCATATCGGCTTGTCTGATTAATTATCATGATTTCATAACTAACTAACAAACTTTTACTACTCTTTAGCAGGGAACAGGGGTTACACTATATGTGCAAGAGGATTACCTCCAAGTTGCAGAATAATGAATGTAAATATTGCAGCAACAGTCTGCATGATTGCGATTGAAACTCAGTAAGTCAATTCATAATACAAAATATGGATTTGGAAAGAGAAAAACAGACTTGTTTAGCCAGCCTTGTTCGTTTTTATTGCCACAGTGCACTGATTTCAAGATATGCTTTTGTAAATGCAGTAATACTTTTGTGGAAACATCCTCCATATTACTGCATCAACACTTATACATATGGGTTCTTTCCGACTGTGATCGTTATCTTAAGCCCACGTTTGTTAGAAATATGTAAGTCAAACGTTAAATTGTTTTGCTTACTTCCGGTAACGATGCTATTTGCTATTCGCTGTTAGTATAAGAATTCACGTTGGTGATTGTTAATCATTGCGAATATTGCACCATTTAACCAAAAGTGTGACAATTTCGGCAAGAACCGTGCATTTTATTCGCGGTAGAGAGCAAAATGTTATTGGTACAAATTAGGAACTTAACTAATGGGTATCACCCCACGTAGAGTATACATAGTGGCAGCGATTGCTATCGCGCAAGATCGCTGGTGAGGATAAATGGTTCAAATAAACGGGTGACTCACTAGGTAGGTAGGTAGTAAGGGACGCACTATTCTTCAACTTGTTTGTCTAGCAAATAAGAAAACATAGGAAAACAGCAATGTCGATCATGTGAATACCACACAGTCCACAAAAACCTCATGTTCTAAAATCGAGGATTTGTCCTAGGGTAGGCAGTGGAACTTGCTACAAGGGTGGCCGTTTCATCAGTATTTATATAATTGTAGTTTCTTAAAACGTCAGAAAACATGACTAAAAATAAAAAGGTGATTATCACGGTTTTAAGTGGTACAGCACATGATTTTCTGCTCGCTAATCACATTGATGCTTAATGAGTGCTTGTTTCCGAAGCTACGAGGACCATTGGGTGCTGTGAACATACCCTGCACGATTAGGCTACGATGAACAGCCGGCTAAAGTTAAGCCGTTTGCATTCAGACTGTGATATCAGTGGCGTTGCGAGCTACGGCTGTTCATCGCAGCCTAATCGTGCAGGGTATGTTCACAGCACCCAATGGTCCTCGTATTGTTAAAAGTACTCATGTAAATTTTTAAGTGAGGAAAATAATAATCACATTCACATTTGTTTTTTAGTGGCTTATTAGCAAACCAACAACCAATTTAACGGTTTGTATATGTGCAGCAATAATAGAAGTACACATAACACGAGTGCCGAGCTCAAAGTAGGATTATTTTCAGTAATCTCGCAAAAAACCCGATTAATGCGACTCTTTCGCCTATCTTCCACAGCATAACAAACTGCGGAATGCATCCCGCCATTCCTTCGACGCCAGCGGGTACATTAACGGATTCAGCAATGCATCGAGGAAGAATATGACGCTCGTCGCCGCTAGCGCTTGAAGATTAAATGTATTATTCCACACCATTAACGAGTAAGTCACATTAATGGGTGTCCAGCAGAAGACTGCACCCAGTACCAACGCTGTCAAGATGGCGAAGTGGCGACGTGCATTGTACTGGCGAGGTTCATCCACATTCTGCCGTCGGCGTCGCATTGACCCGCCTGACGTTTCGTTCGACATATTGGTATCTCCTGTTGCCTTCGTCACAGAAACGGATTGTTCACCTGAAAAGCAGGAATTAACAAAATTTGTATGAGGTTTTCATAGATAGAAGTGACCTTTGGTCCACGATGCCGATGCTCCTGAATGCGGAAAGTTGGACCGACTGATTGGTGCAAGTTTTTTACTATCCTGTACGCGATTTCGAACTTTGTAATAAATAAACGGATAAACAGCCACGATTAGTATATTCGGTAATATATACAACACAATATTAGCAGCCGTTCCCCATGCAGGTAGTTGCGACACATCAAACGCGCAAAAATATGGGTTACGTGCTTTTCCAAATCGCATTTCATAGACGATCGTTCCTGGCAACGTCCAGGCTTGTACGAAAACAAATGCTCCGACGACAGCCCAACACGCAAACGCTCTATTATGACGCAGTCGGTAACTATTCGGATGCGTGACCGCCCACAGCCGATTTAAGCTGATTAGAATATGGATGTAAAAGGCGAATCCAATCAAAATCCATCCCAGATAGTTTGCTAGAGCGCAGTAGAATGTACCAAACGGATATGGAATTTGGAGGAAATTTGCGATATTATTCAGGGACAAAGTGCAAGACTGCAAAAGGTCAGCAACGGCTAGACTGATGACGTATACCCCGAAAGGCGTTCGCAGACTGGGAGTTTTGCAGTAAACGATAATGAGAGTGATATTAGCAATGACGCTGATGGCCGCTATCGGAACGCTTATCCAACCGGCCGGAATAGTGTTTGGCAACGGGAAATGGAATGGAATGACGCTTGCGTTGGCGGATTCATTCCGTGTACCACCAGTTGTGCTATTGATCATCTTCTATTCGGCAATAGCCAGGTTACTCAACAACAAGCTACGCTGGTACAATCTAATTAAAATGAGTTTTAGATTTAAAAAAGGCGCATTATCGGGAAAGTTCAAAGATGCTTTATAAAAAGCTGGTTCATATAAAGGTTAAGACTGCACTACAATAGCAAAACGGACGTTATAGGGAAACTTAGGCGTCGCGCCAACAAATTGCGTTGCGAAAAAATTATTCTGCGTCGATTTTTCGCACAGGGATTAAGTGCGGTTCGTGCTGCCTTTGATTTGAGAGCTTTGACTTCGGATATTCTTTATTAAAGGTCATAATTTAATGCGTTGCGGAGCTTAAAACATCCTTAATGGACTTCCTGTTTATACGGTTTCCTGTTATGGTTGCACTCGTCCTATTGTTCCGCTTGGCAGAAACATTGTAAGTGGCCTTGAGATCGGACACTGACAAATTAATAACATGGGAGCATGGAAAGCAGAGCAAGCTTGATTGCAGTGTGAGCAGGCTCATTGAATAGGTACCTAAGTTTAATCCATTCATTAATTTTCGAAATTATTGTTCACGTCCATGCCGAATAGCATAAAATTCAACTAAAAAAAAGGTCGGCAGTTTATAATCGTCAATAGACCTGCGATATGTGGATGCTCAAAATTTATATTTTGTTAAAAATTATATAGGTCATATAGCGTAATTTTGAACCACATACACGAGAAACTATTATTCGTTGTTGCGCAGCAGGTTTCTAAAGGCATTCCGCCACTCCTTTGATGCCAGCGGGTACATTAGCGGATTAAGCAGCTCAACCAGATGAAAAATGACGCTGGTCGCCGCTAATGCTTCCAGATTCACCACATTGTCCCATACCATTAACGAATACGTAACCGTAATAGGCGTCCAGCAGAAGAGAGCGCTTAGCGACAACGCTGTCAGTATAGCGAGATGACGATGTCCGTTGTACTGTCGTCGTCCACTGTACATGTTAGTTTGGAGATTTCAGATGTCCGTGCGGGACAGCAGTGTTGTTTACGTTATCACCCGAACGCGAAGGTTTACCTAAAAGAAGCGTCACTATTTAGAAAGCCGATAAAGCAAGGCTCAGTTGTCTTGGTGACCTTTCGATCCCGATGCTCGTGAATGCGTAGCGTATGTTCTAGGAATAGGCGCCACTTGCGTTGCATTCCGTAAGCCATTACGAACTTTGAAGCAAATCAACGGATATATCAAGGCGATCAAAATGTTTGGAACGATATATAATACAATATTGGCTGCGGTTCCCCAGGCGGGCAATTGCGACACATCAAACGCACAGATCATGGGATTACGTTCCTTTCCAAAGCGTGTTTCGTAAATAATGGTGCCCGGTAACGCCCACGCCTGCACGAAAATAAATGCGCCGAATACGGCACAACATGCAAATTTCTTACTGTGGTGCAAACGGTAACTGCTCGGATACATGACGGCCCATAGCCGACTGAGGCTGATGAGAATATGAATATAGAAAGCGAACCCAATTAAAACCCATCCCAAATAATTGGATAAAGCGCAGTAGTACAACCCAAATGGATAACGAATTTGCAGGAAGTTAGTAACGTTATTCAGGGAAAGAGTGCAGGAATTTAAAAGGTCAGCCGTAGATAAACTGATCACGTAGACGCTGAACGGTGTACGTAAGGTGGAAGTTTTGCGGTACACGGCGATTAGCGTTAAGTTTGCGACAATGCTAATGATCGCTATTGGAATGCACAAATACCCGGCTGGAATCGTATTCGGTGGATGAAAATGAAATAAATTCACGGTAAGATTGATAGACCGGTTGTATGAGCTACTCGTATTATGAAACATAGCAAAATGTCCAAAAACTTGCTTACTGATATAGCGAAAATATTTTACTATAACCCAGTTTAATCGAAATTCGTAATAAATCTGGACTATACTTACGAGTAACGGCTTCTGAATCTAGCTGTCTACCGGTACATGTTTTGAAAAGTGCGATGCGGAAGAGGGCGGATGTGCGATGAGCATTTACTTAGAAATCGTATCTCATATCGTGATGCCGTCTTGACATTCGTTTTCCCGCCGGGAATTTTTCCAGCTGCGCTAATCAATTATTCACATTAATATGCAGCACTGTTTAAAAGGTCACAGTGGGCAATTTGCTAGAGAACTCGAGCTGCAGAAGCTGGACTACATTTCACAGCTCCCCACTCTGAAGTTTCGTGGCTTTTTGCACATTTGTTAAGCCAGATTATTATCGGTAAACGATGCACCGCGTTGGTGGAATCTGTACTCCGGAGTAATGGGCGGAAAATACCAAGAACTTTCCAAGGGAAATTCCTGCATTATCAATACATACTTTGGTGGCAGCAAAAGGTCCATCGCTGTTGATAAATTATTATTCTGTGTGCCTTACAGTTAGTTCGATTTGATCGGTCAACGCTGCAACGGCTGCATATGCTGTATTAAAGTCTGTCATATTGTAATATTCATGACCCTGGATGTTATGCATATTGGTAACTCATTGACCTTGGAATACTGTATTACATTTTCCGCTTGATTTCAATATACTGTACGTAAAAACCATTGATCATGATGCAGCTTCGATCATCGTGGCCAGGAAATCTTCACTCACTTTAATAAACTCGAATATAATAAACTCGAACCAAAAGGGATTTATAACCCATTATTTCTGTCATTACACATTCCAGTTGAAAACATCGAAAACGTTCGAAAATTCGTTGGTAATAAAAAAAGAATGTTGTCAATGTTGTCAAAACATTTCAAATAAAGAAAAACTGCATACATTATTACAGTGACAGCGTTGGTATAGCTATCGGAAGATCGGGGAAACTCTGATTACGCATTATAGTCTTGATATCAAATATTTCGGATTTGAGCTCCATCAGATCATCCTTCAGTTCAGATATGTCCACTATTTCATATGCCAGCACCGCGAAGGATATCAGGAATGTTAAAGTCTGCAATAATAATTCTTGTAACAAGCACGTTAGATAAATGTTTTGCACAACATAATGATTTTCTTATTCCTTGTTAATGTAAAGCAGAAATCTGACTTACCGTGGCTATCAGTTTCTTATTCAGAATAAATAAATGTCCAATTCCATAATAAATTTCCCGATCGAACACCGTTGCAGCCGAAGCAAGCTCATTTCGGACCTATATACAACACAAAACGTTGTCAGTAGTTCCCACCGTGTGCGCCTTTGCCTCTTTTGTCCCGGTATTAATCGATTTACTCGTATACATATTTGTCACCTACTTCAGTCTGTTGAGCATCCGGATGTTCGGCTTTAATGATTTCCAGTGCAATCTTCATGTCATGACATTTTGCAGCGATGCACTTTCCCTAAATACACAATGGTTTACATGTCCCTCTAAATTAAAATTCTCCACAACGCAAAAACCGCAGTGGTAATAACCCTGCGTTGGCGACCGACAACCAACCTGCTCGTAAATGCAGGCCATGGGAATAAAGCACAGCGTGATATGCATGAGAAACATGAGGATGGCATAAACGCTGCCCCAGCGCACCACCACATGCGCCAGATGTTTCTCACTGTGCGAAAAGCCCGCCACCAGCGTACCGATGTTCCCGCAGACGGTCATGCAGTCGTTTTCATAAATAAGCAACAACACCCGGCTGAAGTGCTCATTAAAATAATCACAGAACAAAACATTACTGTGATAAACCGTTTTAGCTTGTTCCAGTTCCTTCACAGCGGACTGGAAAATTTTATGCACCGGCTCAATCATATTCTCATCCGGATCGCAAACATTACGCAACCGGTCGAGGGTGAGGCTAATTTGACGGTACACACGGTCGACGATCATGGACTGGATGAACGCCATGACAATTATCATGACAAACAGGATCTGTGATAAAATGTATGGCAGCAATCCAGATATCATCCAGAATATTGCCACGTGCCAGAACACCATTTCTAACTCCAGTGTACCGATGCTTTGGATCGTCAACCAGGAAAATCCATCCATACTCGATTTCGCCGATAACCATTTGGAGTATAACCACAAGTACGACATCAGTAAAAACGCGATAATTAATCCAATCACCATAAATTTCAAACGAATTAGTTTACTCAATGGATAACTGAAAGTGTCTAAAAAAATGCGAATATTTCGATGGAACACCGTTATTAGCTGTCGCCAAGCGTTTCTGTGGCACAATAAAACCGTTACAATAGCCGCACCGCGGCAGTTAATAAAAAACGCCGTGGCGATAATGGTGGCTTTGATAATGGGATTGGTGGTTGGGAAAAAAGATTTAACCCGCTGAAATTCCACCGCACACGTGTCCACAGACACCACGACGCCGACCCAGCCACACAAACAGATGACAACACCAATGACAGAGTAGCACAACTCCAATTTACCGGCGCGCTTGGTGACGCGACCCTCCAGATTCCAGGGTATGAAACCCAGCAGCTGCAGCGGCCATAAAGATGCACAGAAAATCCTCCTGAAATTCGAACGCACTGGCGCTCGGGTTGTGGTATTCATGTCTTCCACAAGCATTACACACTCACTGAATCGGACTTGTAAATCGGCAACCGTAAGCCAGCCACCATCAAGCACTACCGCTTCGTAATGGTCCTGTCACCATTTTGTGTACAGCACATAATTATTATCATTGCTATTATTATTATGCTAACAGTAAGGGATGTTGATCCAATAATACAATATTGTGGGAACAAGAGCTATCTGATTAGAATAATCCGTGATATCCATTCTGACAGCGACATAATCGTGGAGTATGAAAACATATGCATGTAGTTGCACAGTAAAGAGTAGCTTTAGCATGATGCAAAAAGATATAAATATACTGGCATTCGACAATCGGCAGTACTGTACGTGGGATGATGATTTGAAAACAAACAAACCCCCGTTGCTGTTCTAGTGATCAGTTTCGTTGCGCTGTAGATTATTTTTGCTCTCCAAGGAATGCCCACGACGATTTTCCCGAGCAATCATACGTTTCCAGTGGTACTTACTCGTGCCGTAGGGAACTGAATCCATTTTGAAGTGTCCAGGTTACTGTATGGGGGTCTCACTACGCTGTACGATCGTTATCGTTAGATACGCAGTTGCAAATAATTTGCTGGTCATGAGTATCGACAACATTCGCTGAGAGCTGTGGATCCATTACTTATATGTACATAGTATACACAGTAGATATCATTAAGCTTTTTATAAACAGCCGGTGATGCAGTAATAGTAACCAGTAACCACTAAGCGATTTTCAAGTACTGTACGGCTTCTACTGCAAATTGCAGTTAGGGATTTTCCGGTTGGCAAAATGCGTTGTGACAAGCCGTACAAATGAAGTTCGCATACAGGTTTTTTGGTTTTACACGTCTGATATTTTTTGCACGATTTTTTACGGTTTACTGATACGTCTTGTAAATGTTACTCACATGTAGAAGCATAGTAAAGCATACGGTATAGAATAATTAGATCACACCATCACCCACTGCATGTCCATAATACGTTTTTGAAAAACTGTATAAGTCAGATCTACAACGGCCACAACTTTAAATCCTAAATAAAAACAATGAACGCTTTCTGAATGGCTTAACAATCAAATACACAGTCTGTATATATGGCCCGCTTGGGACCGCGTGTTAGCTGCTATCAATTCCTTCATCAACTACGCTGTCCACACCCTTCAACCAAAATGTCTCCATTATACCCTTGCCCTGTAAAATAATTAGTTAGCATGATTAAGTTTCCAAAATCATATGCAATGCCTGTGCCTCTGCGGTACCTTCACAGGTATGTCACCTCTGGGTTCAATCGTAAATTTATGACTACTGCATTTTTGCAGGAAGCCTGTTGTGGCGGTAGACATCTGTATTCTTCCGGCTGCAAACAAAAATTATGGTGGAGTAAACAGAAAACAAATTACGTTATGGTGATCTCTTACGTTGACCCGTGCTTTCCATACGGGACGCGGTGTTAACGGTATCTCCAAACAAACAATACCGCGGCATCCGTGTTCCAACCACTCCGGCCATGCAAGGACCCGAATGCAGTCCTATGCGCAGCTGGATGGACTGCTGCGGTCGATGTGGTATACGGAAAGTGTTGGTGGAGTCACGGATGTTAAGAGCCAAGCGAGCGATTTGCTCCGCATGCCGGTTATGGTTTCTGTGAGGCAGGCCGCTAACTACCTAGAGACGCATAAACGTTAAAGCACAAATTTCCTAATGCGTTTGTAAGCGCATAAAAGCACAGTTCGTAGAACATACCATGTATGCATCGCCAACCGTTTCGACCTGAAAAAGTAAATCCTTCGTAATTACGAAGCGTGTTTGTAATCGCTTTAATGTGAATGTACGGATGTACCTTATATGCATCGTACTGGCTGATGAGCTTGTCGAACATCCCAAACAGGCTGTTTAAAAGTTCCACAACTTCCAATGGCGAGCTTTCGGCTGAAAGGTCAGTAAAGGAGACAATATCGCTGAAGTAGATCGTAACGCAGTCGTATGCTTCGGGTGGTACTTTTCCGTCATTTATTAATTGCGTGGAAACGCTCCTAAATTATGCAATTCATTAACAATCGACTGTATCGATCAACTGTATCTACATGTTGCAAAATGAGCCGTAACTAATTTTTGATGCATTGTTGCCTGGTGTAAACAGTTGTAAATCACCTTGGCAGTAGTTCATGTAGCAGTTCTTCCGTACGCTGTTTCTGGGCGATGAATTCCTTAGTTCGGACTTCGACAAGCTCTTCCAACTGATTAGCATAGCGTTCCAGCCGCATCATTAAATCATCGAACATGTTGCCTTTACTGCCCTTTCGAATGACTTTAAACTGATCAACCACCTGCTCGATGGTCGGTCGCTCCTTAGGATTTTCCTGCCAGCAATGCTCAATTATGGCACGAACACCGCAACTGCTTTTTAGTCCGTAAATTTCCGGTCGGTACGGAGCCATTCCACAGTGCTGCACTTGCTGGATAATGTCTGCAACGAACAACAAGAGTTACTACGAGCGAATAGAAACATGTGCTTGTGGTTAGAAACTTGCTTGGTCTAATCAGAGCAACACAAAAACTCATTACTGATTACACATACATGAGCAACAAGGTTCTTGCTCGTATGGTACGCCTTCGAGTGCCCAGGGCCGTGTTCGCGTTCCAATCTCCTTTAAAATAATCCCCAAAGCATAGATATCCGCCATTCTCCATTCCTGATACGAAAAATTGCGTTTTTCCTGTTCCCTCAAGATTTCTGGAGCGCACCACAACAATCGGCTGGGATTTGTCTCCTCATCACGCAGCGTTTTCAGCGTATGGTCACGAAGTTTCAAGCAAAACCGACTGTCAATCATACAGCGCCAACTGGTCAGCATTCCGTGGTACTCGAACGCCGACTTGTGAATAAACGTTAATCCCTAAAAATTCAAATAAAAACGGTTTTTACGCATGTAGAAGTTGATCGTTAATTGCATCCGTAACACACCTCCAACAAGTCAGCAATCAACGAGTACCGGAATGTCCATTCCAACTGAATATTGTCGTTTAAGAGCAAAGATGGCAATTCGCCGCGACTGCAGTATTCGGTGACAATGGCTTGAAACGGAGGATCAATACACAAGCCGATAATCCTCACTAAGTTTTCGTGACTTAAATCTCTTATCTGAAATTTATAGCAACATGCTGACTGAAATTTATAGCAACATTTATAGCAACATGCTGTCTTAGGTATGAGCCTACCAACGCAGTTGATATCTTACATTTCTTAAGGCGTGCCGCAGAGAAACCACGCAGATCTCTTTCCGGACGAACCGCACACAGACGGGCGTTCCATGGAGATTTCCATGCTGCACCGTTTTCAGGAAAGATAACTTTGCCTAAATGTGAAAAGCGTTTCAGCTTGACTGGAAAGAACTCGAAACTCTGGTAAGTACTTTTGGCTTGGTGCAAATGTTCGACCGGTCCATGTCCGTTGAGTCGCTGATCTTTTTCTCCCGGCGACATCGTTCCATTCGCTGCGGGAATGAGCATTTGGTCGGACCTTGAAAGGTCAGATCCTCGTATCTGATTTCCCACCATTTTTCGTTCATACGGATGGTATCGGCCAGCCGCTTTTTACTGCAACAGAAAGCTAATGTACGCAGAAAGTCGTGACCTTTGCGCATTATACCAGCAAGACAAACCTGGTTCGTTGGTAAACAATCAGGCATAACACCGCCATAGTAAACAGGATGCATAAACTGATAATAATTGCCACAACCCAGTCGCCTACAAAACAAGTATAAAATACTTTTATGCATACAGTGTGTGTTGAAATTAGCAGTAATCGACGTAGCAGCATCTATAAAAATTATTAATGATCTTTCCGTACTCAGACAATCTTCGTTCAAATATCCACAGCGTGGTTTGTTTGTTGCCGGAATCCATAGTATCTGATTAGTGACTCGCTGCAGCTCAGTATCCGCCGAAGAGTAGGCAAACATTACCTATTAACCAGATCGGTTTATTAAGTACACGTGAGACGCGCATTAGGAAGTATTTTTAGTACCCGAAATTTGTGGTCGTCTTCGTTGTACACCTTCAGTACATAGTCACCCACAACGTCACCGCATTCGTTCACCGTTGTATTACAGCCTTCGAAGTCCTCAAAATGAAACGTTCGGTTTTTTATGCGCTCCACGATTTTATCCCCGTTCACCTCCGGGCGTCCGTTAATAATTGACTCTTTGAATACTTGGCCAAAAATTCTGATAGCCAAGTAATAATGCAGCGAGCTCCATGATACAGATACCTGCTAAAATTACAAAAAGAAATATTATTGAACCTGGGGAAATTCTTTCCATGCGATGCAAGCGTATGCAAGGCCCACTAACCGCTTGATTACTCTGGCTGGTTTGCCCCGTTGAATAAGTACAGGCTTCGATCATCCCTTCCGGGCATTCACCATCACACAGCGATAAGGCGTACGTAGGATTGAAAAGCACATCGTTATCAAAATCGCGAAAGGAAACTACAAGCGTCCGCGTAAAGGCTTCATGTAGGAACTGCAAGGATGAATTTAAAATACTCCGATAAGCAACAGAAGACTATTTACGATTAAATTCAGTTATCTGAATATGGAATGAGGAGCCAAATATATATGGTTTGATACCTTTTCGTGCTCCTCGTGTGAGGAATGACCAAGCTTTTCTTTATCTGCACCTGTTAGCGGCGAACCAATGATTGGATCTTTCTGGTGACTAATATCCGGTATTAGGTATGTCTACAGCATAAATTGTGAACGGTATAAGATAAATGTGGTAATCACGAAAAGCTGCCAGTCTAAAAACTTACCCATTCATCCGAAATGAATCCTAAATTGCTTGCGACCATCTGCAGCATATGAAAATTACTAATCAGCTGAAAAATATTATGTACTGTATTTGCCAACTTACGAGGAAAATCTTCGTGGCTCTTGCGGATCCCGTAAACAAAACAACTGCAAAGAGACAATCAACGTTGAGCAACGATCGCCGAAGGAAAGAATATTATTACCCCTTGTATGTCGTTTAATGGCATCAAAAGTCGTCTTATATGACTCGGAGAGGTCGTCCAGTGTTCCCTCCGCCGGAACCAAATACTGCACGAAGCTGTACCGGGCCGTAAAAATGCCGTCCTCCTCGATTTTATGATCCTTGAAATAGTCTGAGATGCCTTGGCCGAAAATACTCCAGATGGGATCTTCATCGTCATAAATCAAAGCAAAATTAGACCAGGCGAACTCCTCGAAGATCTTCTGGACAAACTCCGCCATGCGGGTCATTGTCCACCCAGTGCGGATCAAAGTTGGGTAAACATCGTTGTCATCCAGTTTGGTCGATACGGCAGAACCTTCCAACCAGGCAATATTCCACTCTACAAAAAGCCGTAATTAAAAGTTCACTCTCGAATCTGAAAAATTACTGTAACAAATGAACACAAGTATAACGTTGTTGGTAGAATTATTACATCTAACAGATGTACAGAGTACATGTAATCTGCACATGTAATGCGCAGATGTACGCACATCATGATTTTTATGAGCAATATTTTGAAAGTCGCGGTTGTTTTTCGCTCTCTTCCAGAGCTTTGAAAGCTGGCGATTTTAAAAATATTTCATTATTTATTTGGCTTGCTTCGTAGTTCGTATACTGTATTTCGTGAAAACAGTTAGAAATTTCGCTTATCAATGACCATCAGTTTATGTAATCACGATAACCCAAATCCTAGAAGCGTTGCACCGTATTTATTAGCATATCGGAATTTCCCAAGAACTATTTACAAACATCAACAGCAATGTCATACCCCGTAACAGATGCCCCAGTTGTTGTGCCCCTGCACTACACCCCGGTCCGACCCAGGCGACAACATCCCTCCTTTCAAGTCTCTTCTTCATATAATTTGACGCCTTGAACGCCACCCGGTTTTCCATCTCCTTGCACGAACTAATCCCATTGTGATCCAGCATCTCCAGTTCCAAGCGCACCGGTCTGGTGCGGTTGATAAGGCCACCTCTGGTCGCCCACTGTTCTGAAATTTCTTTATTCACCTGCATAATCCCTAACTCTAGAAAACACTGTTGATTCTGCAGGTCAAAGTACATTTCGTTGGTGTGATTTGGGAAGATGGCGGCGATGAAGTATGTCCCGAAGGCATTCCAGTCGGGATGATAGCCCATGGTGCGGTCCCGCCGCATCGTGTTAATAATCTCCACCAGGCGGTCACCTGGACTGGTCTCATTTTTTACTACAATTTCTACAGATTCGCTGATGACACTAGTGATTAAAGCAGCACAGAGGAAGTTAGTGATTAAAGCAGCACAGAGGAAGTATGCCAAGGCCATTCCCAATCGAATGTCGATCAAAGTATCAAGTCTGGCTAAGTGGTTGTGCTATGGTGTAACTAACTGATGCAAACGGAAATAGAAATCAAACACAGAAGACACAACTGGCCAACAGGATGAGTGTTTCTTTGGTACGAGCTCGATATCAACCACTGCGGATGACAATGCATGGTCATATCGCAACATGGTTGGTTTGTATGTGTAGATAAGATTGTAATGAAAACGTGATTGTTCCTGATTGTCGAGCATTTGTAGTGACTAGCAAACAAAGTTCACCGAAGGCTCCATTACATTGTGCTGGCCTTAAACTGTCTAATTATACGCACAGCAGTTTTACCTTATCGGTGAAACCGAATGCGGGTACCGGCAAGAGCAACGACATAATTAATATAATATTCACTGAGGTTCGTCTTCCGTACGAGTATTTGCACGCTGTAAATCACCGTGGAGAAGCGCTTTCGCACCGCTCCGCATTTGCATTTTGTGCGTTGTTGCCCATTTTTACTTACATTTTATAAAGTCCTCATAGTGACTTGTTCATAGTGATTCAAATAACACAAATGACACGAGATGACAGCGGTACAGTAGATTTTATTAACGTTCCAACACCGCATGTACAAGAACCTACAGGTACAGTAATAATTGTTACGGCAGTGTTGCGCATATTGTACACTGTGTGTAATGCAAATGCCGGCGTTCAATATGCACTACATGGCGAAATTTCCAAAACATATGCTCCCACCAAAGCGATATCCCGCGTACCAAAAATGCGAGTAAAACATACCAACGGAAGTAACATCATCCTGTGGAAAACCCCTGTGCTGTTAATTAGCACAGTTACTGAAAAAATGTCTCGCTCCTTCATGCGAAGAACGACGCATGTCACAGTGTCAGATTGACAGGTGGCATTTGCGCACTGCTAATTTTCGAGCAGGATGCAGTCTCAGGAAATCCTTTTCCACAGGCTAAGGATAATGTGGTGAATGATGCTTTTACTTGACTTTGTCGCCGGGGTAAACAAATTACTCTTTCTTCCGCAACCCTTGGCTTGTGACTGCTACGAAGTACAGATACCGTGCATGAACTGTATTGCGCATTGCATAGGTATTAATTAGGTACCAAGTGAACATACCGCAGTTCTTTAGTTGCAAACCGAAGACCGATCATCGGGGATCCCGTTTAACAAAGGATATGGTAATACAGCTAGTAGCATTTTAATAAGTACTGTATATCTCGAACGTTGTTTGTAATGATCCGGGTTCCGAAACCCGAGGCGCCAGCTAGGAGTAAAGTGTGTGCATGTTGTTTCCGCTTGCTGTTTTTGTCCCAGTGGCCTCATTAAAACCTCTTGTTGCCTTTCTCATCAAAAGCTTCGCGCAATACGGATTTCCAACCCTGTTTGATCCATCGAAAATCATGGTACTTATTAGAAGGCAACCATCAGGAAATGCTTCCCGGATTTTCCACAGGCTCTCATTAGGGCTAGCGGATTTACGTTAAATGTATCTGTGTTATATCCCCGTAATTTACAAAGACATGGATATGTCTTTGTAAAATACGTTTCTTGAGCAAAGATTTGCCGTCCTGGCAATGGAAAAGTCATTTTACTTTGTGATTCCTTTCGAAGTGAGCACGGGAAAATGACGGCTAGCGCCAACAACACGTCAGTGCCATCGAATTCCAACATGATTACAATACGGTTTCTCCTTTCTGAACACTGGACATCCGCGCATACATTGACCTGCGCCCTTTCAGGCCTGGTTTGCATCACCAACTCTTTTCTCCTCCATATTTACCGCATCAAGCAAACCCTGCGGACGCCGTTTGGGGTATACATTATTGTCCTACTGCTTTCAAATATTGCGCAAGCAATTTCTTTAAGCTCGGTTCCCTTAATGCTCAAAGACGTCATGCCGTTCTCCTATGAATCTATCCTGTGCACTATTTACTTATATTTTCAGTTGGTGATCGCTGCAGCGCCTAGTGTCACTCATCTCCTGATCAGCCTGAACCGCGGCTGGGCAATCGCTTGGCCGGTACATTACAGGCGTCATCACTCGCACAAAATGGCCGTCTTAATTTGTGCTGCTGCGTTCTTCATGATTAACATTTGCGCGTTGCCGGGAATCACCCTGGATGGACTGTTTTATCGCTCGGATCGGCTGAACCAGCGGTGTGACCTGAGTTATTTCCCACCAATAACCACATGGATCAGCATTGTCACGACTATATTCTTTATTATTCCGGAATGCGTAATAATCGCGTCGTATCCGTTTTTTGTCATGCGACGACTGCGATATCGACGGAAAATTCAAGATTCCAATCAACCAATGGCTACGGCTTCCGGTGATATCTCCACGCAAGCCAAAAGCGGTGCGCGGTTGGTAGAGCGCGATAGAATGAAAACGACTTCCAAGTCGTTTCTTATGCTGACGCTTTTGACCTGGAGCGTGTTTCTCTTTTGGACACCAAATAATATGTTCTACTTGCTGATTCGTTATGTAAACGCCGAGTTAGTGTTCCGACTTGGTAATAATTTAAAGCTGGTGCAAACCATCTTTGATCCATTGTTATTCATGGTTGCGCTACCAGATCTGCGGCGTGCAACGGTAGATGTTTTCCGCAGCCTATGCAAATGAACTACTGTAGAAAAACCCAAAGCGTAACTGTGTTATGGTGATTTTTGTCCATAGATCAGTACTATGAACGAACTACTGTTGTGAACTATGAACGATGCGGTGTAGCATTGTTATTTAGGCAGTTTAAAAACCTATTAAACATGGCCTAAAATACGTGCAATCTGAGTCGACAGAAATACTTACTCATTCGGAAGGCTCTGTATGATTGATAAGTCTTGGAACGTATTTTAACTTCAATGTTTAATACTGGCTACGAAGACGGTTCTTTGTACTTCGATTTGGTCAGCACTGAAACTTTGCTGGGTCAATCTACAGTGAAGACCTTTTCATGCTGTCAGGCTATAGATCGCCGGCCAGTGCAACAATACTTAAAAGAGAATTCATAAATTTGAACTGCTTAAAATTCAGGCAAATTAAGGGGTAACTCCGTATCTGTAATGATGCGAATTTAAAAGGAAATTGAAAACTCAGTACAAGAATGGTCAACATGGAGGGGATGATTTTCTGGTACGGATTTGCTGTGGCTGGTTTATTGAGGTTTAAGCATCAGACCTAAACCTACGAGCATAGAATGATTGATAAAGAAAGAAACCTCGGTTTCTCCATCTCGCCATTAGTTTGCATCAAGTACAAAATTTGTAGCCAGCAACATTCGCCGAAGGCTGCTTTACCCAGTGCTGGGCTCAATCATTCCCCTGTTAACCCAGCTAATTATGAAGTATTTGCATTTTATTAGTAGGTACAACGAGGGCTTTTATTAGTACGTACTAGCGTAATAACATATTGTGCAAGCAATTTCTAGTCGACTAAGATACCGCAATTAATAATCCTGAGACCGCAACTAAAAATTAAAGAGTCAGCTTGTTGTTTCCAGTCGGGCGGGCTCATTAAATAGATGATTAAAGTTAAACCGCTCAGTATCATAGTCTGCTTTTCCGTTAGAAGCCGTTCCGTACAATAACTAAGGTCTACTTCCTTTTCATTCCATATAAAATCAATTTGCAGACCCAGAAACCAGGTGTCAGAGGCGTACGACTGCGCCTGGTGCGTACGGTCCACACAGGACGTACTTGCACCATTGCTTGCCGTTACCACCTCTCCCGCTGTACGTACGTGTGCTGCTGCACTGCACTCATCCGCTGAAGCGGATATACGCAGCGCATACACTGAGCCACACTGGCTCTCTCGTTCCTCTTTCGCAGTATGACTCAGCGTTCATACGCTCGCGTTGGATAGAGTCCAGTCTGCGCATCATCACACAGCTGATGGCACACAGCACGTGCTTGCCGCGGGTGGCTTCTTTCACGACTTGGAAGACGCTCAAGAACCCTCTTGGCACACACTTGCTATTTTAGCCATCACTGCTATTGTTCTTGCTTTCCTGCTATACGCAGTATTGTTCCCCCTTTATTTGTCAATAAAGGATCACTCGTGATCTCCTCGTGCACATCTGTTACATGGTAGCAGCATCTTTTCTGGTTTTCCTTCCTACGGAACCTTTGAGGAGACGGTGAAGGCTTCATTTACGGAGAACTCGTGAGGAACCTGAAAGTCACTGTCAGATCGATTACTGAAGTAATCTCTGCCCTGACTTTGATCGGACTGATCTTGCCGTCTCACAGCTGAGGAAAACGAGGATCACTGAAGTGATTCTCACCCAGCTGGTGAGCACAGTTTCTCTGTCTCTTCCACACTGAAGAGCACATTCGCAACAGCACGGACACTTTCTTCTCCCAACTGACGGATCAGACTCGAACGAGAGTCTGCAGCGCGAACGGATTACTCCAATAATACGGGGACCATCGGTTTGAACACCGACCCGCAACTTTAACGGCGGAATTTCATTCGGAAACGACGGATTTCCGACCTCGGACGGAGGAAATCGAGCGGAACCGACATCGACACCGACACCGGTAAAGTAACGGTTCTAGGTCGATTTTAGCCGCAACTAGGTCGGCATTTCATTTTCTAACGGTAGAAAACGATTTCTATCCGTAAAATTTAACTTTTTAACGGTTAAAAAGTAATTTCTGACGGAGAAACCGACTCGGAATTTTGCTTTTGGTCGAGAACCGACCTGCTAGGTCAACGAACCTGTCTAGACAGTTAGACAAAGGCTAACCGGCAACAGGTCGGAAACTCTCTTGTTTTTGATTTCTAACGGTGTTTCGACCACCAGAAAATTTTCTTAATTAATAAAACTAATTTCTAACGGTTAAAAACTCAAAAATCCGACTAGATAAACTTTCTAGCCGAGCAAAAATAATTTGTTTTTCTCGCGGGAAATAGCGCGAAAATTCTCGAACTTCCTTGTGACGTCATAACGACCGCTTATCAGTACTTAAGAAGCAGCCAATCAGAGTGCAGGGGAAAGTTCCCATAGCCTAACATAGGCGTGATTCATCGTTTTTTGTAAATTTTGCACGCGGCTCGCATTCTGTGACGTAGGCAGAAGTG